TAGTGGATTGAATAAAACATGTTTGGGTTGGTTTGAACTTTTGTGTAGTATACTACCTCATAATTCAGCATTTTCTATTTCCATACAATGAATCTCTAAATGACACAGAAATGTTCTAATCTTTAGATACAGGTTTATAAATGACAAACAATAACGCTATTTGACTGGTCAAATAAGAAACAATGCCATCAATGACAGATAAATATTTTAATGAGGAAGTCTGGTTCTCTGACTCATGAAAGGAATAAGCCAATCAAAATTCTTCTATAGGATTGGATTAATTTTAGGGCAAATAAAGGAAAATCTCCTCTCAGCTAAGCCATTAACATAATTTTAGCTAACAAAGACCAGTGAATCCACTGCCTAAAGAACAATCGCTCTTGGTGTTCATTCAGCCCAGCGCTACACTGCACTCTCCTTTAAACTACATCTAAATAATTCCAGAAGTATATACTCTTTGTTTTTAAAGCTCTTAAGTAAAACATATCTACATCCCACATTTCAATGTTAACCCCAATGGAAAATGAGTTTATGCTATATTTACAGATTTTAAAAAAAATCTAGCACAATATTACTGTATATCTCCTTATGCTAGTTCATTCACAATATTTTTGCTTGCTTTAAGTTTTTGCCTGGTTGAAAATTATTACTGGAATTTATCAATTCCCTCTTCTCTCATGCTACAGCACAACAGCAAGCCTAGCATTATTCAGTTTTGTTTCACTAAGCATTGTGTCCTTACAGCTCTTGATTTTCAGGGTAAGTGTAAGAATTGCTAAATGGTCAGTCACTGTCATATGCAGTGACTTTCCTTTTTTACTTAAAAATAATTAATAGATAAATAAAAATGAAATGTATCCAAAGTATGCAGCATAGTTTGCTATAATTTACATATTATATATTATTATAATCAGTTCAATTAATAAAACCAACACTATTAGATGTACATGCTGTACATTATATCCTTAGAACTAGTTATCTTATAATTGACCATTTGTACCATCTGACCACCCCCTCCTCGTTCTCTAGTCCCTTAAAACCACCATTTTGCTCTTTGCATCTACATTTTAATGTTAATCCCAATGGAAAAAAATGAATATACTGTCTTTATAGCCTTACTCTAACCACTATACTACTATACCAGATTGCTTCTCAATGATTACACAATTAATCAGATGCTAAATAGCTTTACACAGATAAAAAACTAAGAATGGAAAAGAATAAAGAGTTTACGTATTGAATAGTGTTCATTTTATTATGAGGAAACTAGACTTCAGCTTGACTTTGAAGAACGATAGGTAACTATGTAGAAAAGGGTTGTGTAAATTCTCAGTACCAGAGTACATAAACATCAGACAAAGACAAAAGGGCAAGAACAGCATGCGATGACAAAGACAAGAATCAGAAATACGTGATGCATTTAAAAATGGATGTGTTTCTCCAGTATGTCAGTTTAGTTTTACCTGTTATGGCATCAGTGTGTTAATTATCTTTAGAATGCTCAATCCAATAGTGTCAACATTTTTAAAAGACTTCAGAAGCCTCCGGAAAAAATACGTTTTACAATGTTATATAAGTATCAAGGTTAGAAAAAGAAGCGAAAACATTGAAGTAAATATTATCAAATTTTAGTTTATGGTACACAATCTAAAGCCCAAAGAAGTCTCTTTCAAATTAATATATAATCTGGGATCTCTATAACAGCTTTGGTTTGCTATTATCTTCCTGTGTAGCACCAATCATAAGGATTAAACACCAAGCATTCTAAGCACATAAACTCTAAGAATTCATCTCCAAGCAAGAAGAACCAAAAGTCTCCAGATTCTCAGGTTAATCCTGCTTTGTCATCAATTTACTTCAGGATGATTCATCCTGAACACACTGCCTCATTTATCATGGCTTCCTCTCTCACCTTTTCCAACCAAAGTTATTTTCGATATTAGTCTTTCGAAAGTTGAAAAATGGAGAGATGAATGTGTCCTGACACAAGGAATCATGGAAGTACTCATTATCTTTTATATTACTTGTTTGTGTACATTAAAGGTCGAGTAACAAAGAGATGGGGAGACAAAGATAAAAGAAATTTTTCATTTACTGGCTTACTCCTCAAATTTCTGTTAAAGCCAGAGCTGTGTCAGATAAAAGCCAAGAGCCTGGAACTTCAGATCATTCATGTCAGTGGTGGGGACTCAAATACTTGGAATATTTTCTGCTGCCTCCCAGACACATTAGCAGAACTATGGATGGGAAACAGAGGAACCAGAACTCAAATCAGGCTCTCTTCATGGCATGTGGGCATCCCGTGGTGTAACCTACCTAACTGCACTGCAATTTCACAATGTCTGCTACAGTACTCACTTTTGAAAAAACTAAGTTCTCTCCTAGGAAAAAAGCCCCAGTTACTCAAAAATTAAAGGTGCAAGAATGCAACAAAGTATTCCAGGAGTCCTTTTTGGTTCTGGGAAAACAAATCCCTCAAAAATGATGTTAAAATGTCACAGCAAGAGAAAGCAAGTAAAATACGAATGAATCCAAGAAAATAATCATAGTTAACTCACTGGATATCTAAAATTCAGAGTTAAGACAACATCAACACTTTCTGTTTCTTTAAGGAATAAATGGAAGAAAGAAATATGTTAGGAGAAAAATCTAAAGAATACATATGGCAAAGGGCAATCTATCAGCATCTAGAAAACCAAGAATCATTGTCCTTCCAGATTTTAAAAGTACAGCAAAACACATCAGTTTCAATTGCCTACAATATAAGACAAAATCTTTTGGCATGCTTCTTTGTCATGACAACAGTAATATTTGTCATAGCAACATAGGAATATTTATTAAATAAGTGGCATGGGCCAGATACTGTTAAGAGCTCTGGGAAAGACACAACTTTGGAGGTGACTAACAACGCCCTTTCCTTATGCAGCTTACATTCTGGCACAATGAGCAACAATGGACCAGGGGATAAATCATGACTGATTTTCTGATACAAAGAATCCAGCCGTACACTAAAGCAGCTTTCTTGCAGAATCAGCAATTTCACAAAGATCTATTTCCTCATTGGAGGGAAAAGGACCATTTTCAGCATTTGCTTAATAGGTTCTCAGAAACTTAAGGCAATAGAAGATAAAAGACAAATTTCACCAAGTGAAAAAGGATCTGATGTTCTGACTCTTTAAGTCATCCCTGTCCAGGAAATGCAGCAATCCAAGTATGGAGTTACTGTGCTAAGACAAGAAATCCAGCTGCAAATCTTAATAGCATTGCGACTTGAATGTGAGTTACTTAATTTTCTTTAAAATCTTTTTGTTTGTAAAATGGTACTTATAAAATCAATCTCACCATAATGTTAAAGCACTCAATGGCTTCATTCATACATGTTTTTATCAGATTAAGATGGTATATAGTCATTATATACTAATATATACATATAAAATATACACTACATGTGCACATCTTTTCCTCAGACACGGACAATTTACCTAACTGTTGCCAGTGCCATTTTCACATATTTTGATCCTTCTACCCTTGAATCATTCACCTTCACTCAAATTCACAATTAGCTAAATGTAAAAATCACTGGATTGTGCAAATGAGAATGGATAAGAGGACAATGAATACTGTCTGCCAACTAAAGTACCCTTCACTAGTAAAATATGGTCTTAGAAACAAAAACTGTAGTAAAAATTGCAGTCACTCACGATTTTAAGCAACTGCAGCTGGGAGCCTGCTTGCTGCAGTTGCTCTCAAGAATTATGACGTTGGTGTGCACCAATACACAGGTCAGCACTCATTTTTTAAATAAAATTTACATGGATATTATGACCTTTTCCCTTTAACAAAGATATAGGTAGCCTTTAAATATTCTACCAAACAAATACACTTCTAAAAACAAATAGTTCCTTTTTAAAAAAGGAAGAAGAAAAGAAAGTCCATATGAAGGTTAAATTTCCACATAACATTTATGATAGAAAAAGACCTGGACTGCAAATGTCTTCTCAGGACTACACTTGAGATCATATCATATTGACTTAAAGAGGTTTAAATATAACAAGTTCTGCTTTGAAAATCTTCATCTAAAAGGTCTAACATTTGTAAACTGAGGAATGGCAACAATGTTACACCCTTTGCTACACAAACAGAAAGGATTATGAAATGATGGACTTAATGCTTCGCCATGCAGGACAACCATTAAATCATTTTTCTAGATTATATCCATTATTGAACATATTCCCGAATTTCATGCAACCTAATTTAAACTTCCAACTGACAGTTCTGATCAAACATTGAATTGCAATAAAAGCTTTACAACTCTGACACCTAGTGGCAGGTCCAGCCCAGGAAAGATAGCCAGCATCTCAGAACGACCCAGAAGTTAATCACTGGGGATACTGGATTTGTAAAATGTAAATTCTAAAAGAATCTTTAAAATTATATTTTGCTTCTGGATTTACCTTGAGGCATGCATGGAGAAGCAAAAAGCCTTGGATTTGTAGCATATATTTTCCTTGAACCTTCCACATTGAGTAAATTTTGTTTACATAAAAAAGCTGAAGATCAATTAATATTTTGGCATAATTGTGACTCTTTTCCTTAGTTTTATATGTAAGTCCACAACCTTTTCCTGGTTCACATTATTTTTCTCCTCAGGTATCCTGCCAAATATACATGCCATCTAATGAAGCCATCATAAGGATTACCTTTAAGGAACTGAGACACTGTTAGTGAAAGGGAAGTTAGACCTTCACAAACCAGCAGGAGGTTCTTTAAGACAGGTACAAGCACACCTGTGGTAACTGCTAACAACACATCTAAGAGCAAGGACCATACTGAACACTGCAGGGAATCATAAGAACACAGTCGATCAACGCTATACACCCTGTTTGTGCCCTAAGCTTTAGAAGGTAAGTGTTTCCAGACCCACCTGCACCTTTGACAGGCAAGACAGCAGGAAGTCTAACATGCTTCTTTCCTCTGCCAAAGAGAGCTCTGGCTCCTACCTGCTGACGTTTGAAGGCCAAGTAATCCAGATTTTCCAGCTCTTTCCCAAACTTCTGGTAGGTTTTCTGGAGGTCAGATTTGTTTGATGCGTTTTTAAGAGACTCAAAGGTCCTTTGAAACTGAAATTGAAAATAAAATATCATTTAAGATCACAGAATATTTTTCTCAAATCCCAAACTAGCTAATACAAAAAAAAAGTCAATAGCAAGCCTGAAATTTTCCCATCCACAATTCAGAGATCACAAATGTTAGCTAATTATGTTTCAATGAAATAATCAAAAATAATTATAAAAAACTGGAAACTGTATGCTAAGATAAGCAACTTTAATAAGTATATTTATTCCTCATCCTAACATGAAAATACAATTCATTTTTTAAATTTCATGTATTAGATACCCTACTTCTTTTAAAGAAAAGATAAATGTATACATATCTATCAAAATAAGAAAACATTAAAAGAGTTCCCACTCCCCAATCATCAAAACAAATGAATTTATGAAAAGGTAGCTGCCTGTGTAGTGTTTTGCTACAATTGCATGGGACCTGGCTTGCCTCTGTAGAAATATGTACACGGAATAGATAACTTCTGCAAAGATCTCTTAAAAAGGCTTCTGTTTTATGAAGGAAGAAAAACCAACATTTTGATGAGGGAAGCACATCTGACATTTCAGCAAACATTTATTCACTTCTGCTCTATAGCACAGTTGAGTTATGAAATCAGTTCTGAATCAGAATGCTCTCCTTTTTAACTCAGGTAATATATACGCACAAAGGTGACAAATGGAAGTAAAGCACAGACTACTGTCTGCTACTGATAATTAATTATACAAAAAGAACTCATACGAAACAGAATTCTTGGTTTATTTTTAGTAAATTAGAACATACTGTGGAAGGTTAGTAATTGAAAATGTCAAGTAATGTAATCTGCCAAGCATTTATGTTTGCTTTATCTTTATGTCATTATTTGACACATTCTCACTCTGTGCCATTAGGAAGATTTCTACAGATAGAAACTTAACCATCTTAAAAACACCAGACTCTACTGTGACTATGATACCATGAGACAGGTTAATAAGATTTCATAGAACATAATTTAATTTCCAGGGAAATGATAAGACCCTTACTATATCAAACTCATGAAATAAGTCAAATTAGAATGGCATGATACTAAATTAAATCCTCAATTTCGTGAAAGCAGCATGCTTATCTCAATCCAATATGACAGAGGAAAAAGAAATGGGAAATAACAGCGCTAAGCTTCGACAGCAGGACAGTAAATTAAATTCCACCAATAATCACTTAGAACCTACTATGCACAAGGCACTATGAATATAAAACATACTTTCTTCCCTCAAGGAACATACATGCTACAGAGAAAATCAGAGAAAGGGAAAGGCCCTGACATTTATTGAGTGACTGTTCAGTCCAGGTGCTCTGTGCTTTTCAATTTAACCTTCCAAAGAAGTATAGTTACTCCTGTTTCTCTTCTTTGTCTACAAGTGAGTAAACTGACACTCAGAAACTTTGATTGAATGAGATTTTTACTACAATGCTCATGCTGTCTATAGTCTACAATTAGCTCTAAAACAAGGGAAAATAGAAAGGGAGTATTTAAAAGTAAGGAAAATTAAAATATACGCAATGCAAACAAACAAACAACAACAACAACAACAAAAAAAAAAAAACCTAAGAGACACAGACCATGCAGAAAAGGTGAAGAAACGTGAATCAGGTTTCAAAGAACGGGAAAACAGAGTATTGTGTGGGAACTGTTTCTACCCATCAAGCCATCAAACATAGCAAAAAATCTGCTCCCTTTCCCCCTCCTGTAACCTAGCTGACACGTTCCTTCTGCAACAACTTAAGTAACCTTTACACTAAATTTCATGATCATTATTTGTGCCTTGCTCATTTCTCGATTCCTTTTCACTGTGTTCAAATCAAAATATATCACATGTAAGAGTCTAAACACTTTAGTAATTCCACAAATTAATTAATTTGAGCTATGTTGCCAAAATCCATTTAATTCTTAAGCATTTTTTATCTTCTACACTTTTTCGTTAAGCAGTGGTATTGTTTTTATTTTAAAAAAAAAGATTTATTTTCATTCAACAGTCACATATACAGAGAGAAGGAAAGAGAGAGAGGAAGATCTTCTGTCTGATGATTCACTCCCCAAGCAGCCTCAACAGCTGGAGCTGTGAAAACTTTCACTGGAACCTTTATTGTGAAACTTACATCTCCAAATTAACGATGTGAAAGAACTCAAAGTACTCTAAAAGTATTATGATTTCACAAATTTTGGATTCACTCATTTAGGATATTTTTCACATAAAATATAGTTGTCATGAGAAATCATATTAAGTCTATAGTATAATATCCAGAACCTAAAAGGGACACATTCAATAGCAAAAATATCAATAATCCAACTGAACAATGGATTATCTTAAAAAAAAAATCTAAACAGACTTTTTAAGGAAAGACATACAGATAGCCAACAGGTACATGAAAAAGTGCTCAACATCACTAATCATAAGGAAAATTACAAAGAGATATCACCTCATCCTAGTTAGGTTAACTACTAATTAAAATGCAAACGATGAGTGCTGGTAAGGATGTAAAGAAAAGGGAACCCACACACTGCTCATAGAGATATACATTAGTACAGCCTCTGCCATCATATTTCCCAGAACACATGACTCTGTTCTCTCTTGAATTTTTGTTTTTCTCATAGTTCTTTATATAAACAATATTTTCAATATATTACTTGATTTATCCTCTTTAGAATTTTACTGCCTGTATGAGAATGTGAGCATGTAACTTCATCTTCAGCTACAGTTTCATCTTTGGCTTACCCTTCCAGTTTGGGGAGCTATGTCAATATTTTAATCTCTTTACTGCTTGTTTTAGCTGTGTTTGTCCTCTAAAGTTTGATTTCCCTGTATGAAATAACTACTGTACTGTAAAAATAAATAAATAAATAAATTAGTACAGCCATTGTGGTAAACAAAGGCTTCAAAACACAAAAACGGGAATTCATTACAATCCAGCTGGGTAAGCCACTGCCTGCAACACTGACATTCTAACTACATTCCAGTTCTAGTCTGAGGCTGCACTTGCTATGCAGTTCATTCTAATATGATGAAAAAAGAAGATGGCCCAAGTTTTTGAGCCCCTGCTTGGCCTATTGGAGACCCAGAAGTTCTGCCATCTCTCCAACACATTTATGGCTACTGTGGCCATTTGGAGAATGAATAAGCAGATGGAAGATCTCTCTCTTTTCCTCTCTGTATCTCTGTTGTTCAAATAAATGTCTTGAAAATTAAAATATATACTGTAAGATACAGCAATCCCACTGTGGAATATCTAACTGAAATCAAGAAATTTTTGGATGACACTTCTACATCTCATGTTTATTATACCACAATTTATAATAGCAAAGAAATGAAAAAACCAAGTGTCCATCAAATGATGAATGGACAAAGACAAAATGGCACATATTTTTGGCCTCTAAAAATAATGGAATTTCATAATTAACAGCAACTTGGATGGAACAAGAGTTTCTATGTTAAATGAAATAATCCGAGCACACAAAGAGATACCACATTATCTCTTATATATATATGTGTGTGTGTGAATTTAATAAAATTGATCTCACTGATGGTTATCAGAGGCTGAGAAAAGTAGGAAGAAGTGCAGTAAGATTAGTTAATGAGTATTTAGTTATGGTTAGAAAGGATTAAGAAATTCTAGTCTTCTATTGCATAGCTGGATGAATGCAGACCATGATAATACATCATATATTTTTCTTTAAAAAGTAACTTTGGGATTACGATTTTCATTTTTAGCTCATGTTTATACTCCAAAAGAAATGTGATCTTCTACTTTTTACTTGTTGAATGTTATGATTACTGGAGAAATTAAGCCTGTAAATATGTAGTGGATAAAAAATAATGCCTTCGTAAAAACAGATGAAGAGAGGAAAGGGCAGGAGGACTACTGGGGGACTCAGAGGTCAGGAGTATGACTTTCTTCTTGGAACTATACCAATGGAATATATAAAAGGTGTTCTCTTAATGTGAATGAAAAATTAAGCTGCAAAAAATGTGAATGTTTTCACCATAAAGAAATGTCAAATATTTGAGGAGACAGACAGATATGTTTTCCCTGACATGCCATTACATAATTTACACATCAGAGTATCCAGAAATCTATACAATTTTTATTTATTACAAGGAAAAAGAAATCTATAGGGTAACCCGCAGTTAGACTGCCTAGTACACATAACGTATCCCATCTGTCCACTTGTGCACTTAGAGATACTATAGAGTAAGAATTTTACTTTATATATGAAGCTGAAATACTGAAGATAAATGTAAGATGGGGGCCAGAATTTTGACATAACAGGAAAATCTATCACCTGTGACGTTATATCCCATGTAAGTGCTGGTTCGTCTCTGCTTTTCCACTTGCTATCCTGCTCCTTGCCAATGGCCTAGGGAAAGCAGCATAAGATAGCCCAAATGCTTAGTCTGTTACCCATGTGGGAAACCTGGAAGAAGCTCTTGGCTCCTGGCTTCAACCTGGCCTACCTCCAGACTTTGCAGTCATCTAGGTAGTGAACTAGCCAATGAAAAATCTTTAACTCTCTCCCTCCTTTTTTTAAAAATATTTTTTTTATTATTTTCCATGATACGGCTTTGTAGGTATGGAGATTCTCACATTTCCTTCCCCTTTCTCCCTCCCCTTTTTTCTCCTCCCACCATTTTCTCCCATATTACTAGACTAGTATATTCCTTCAGCAACGGTACAAGTCTAACACTCCACTATTCAAGTGCATCAAGGTAATGCAGTCACAGGCAAATGCAGAAAGTTCAGAATCATATTGTTAATGTATATTTAATTGTTTCATACTTGCTCTTCTTCCCAGTCTCCTTTCTTCCTCCCTCTCCTCATTCCATAACTCATGCCTGAAAACTAAACTAAAAAACAAACAAAAAAGACTAAGCTGAGCCTTATATTTTAAAGAAATTTGATAATGATTTCATTTGATGATTATTCTTTCTAACTGGTCACTGTGCTTGGTCATTGAAACAGATCTCTGAGATTTTCCACATTA